TAAATGACTTTAGAATAGGTTGGAGGCATGAGGAAACATCAAGAAATGTGCCTGAGGCATCTTAAGTTTTAGATCTCTGGAGCGGAGTTACGAACTAGACAGATGTACTAGTCTGGAGCTCACAGAAGTGGGGAGAGCCGATATAAACGGTACAGAAAACGGTGCAGAAATCATCAGCACACAGATGGGCAGGATGGGATTACTGAGGGGGGAGCTGAGCTGAGAGGCTGGTTCAGCTCTGTCTTTACAGTCTCTGGGTTGAGGAGAGGGAGCCAGCAAAGAAGACCAAGAAATAGCCCAGAAAAGCAGAACAAAAGCCAAGAGAGTGTGGTGTCGTGGCATCTGAGAGACTGTTCTCGGAGGGGGAAGTGATCATTAGCGTAAGATACTGATGAGGACAGAGACTGGGCCCTTGAAAGGGCAACGGGGGGTGGGGGGGAGGGTATGGCAACTCCGTGGCGCCGTTGGGACAGGCTGAACTGGGGGTGGAGGCTGAGGCAACTGTAGGCAGCAGAGCAGGGGGCTCTGAGGAGGTTTTACTGTGAAAACCAAAAAAAAAAAAAAATGCAAACTCACCGAGACCCCCTTTGGGTTTCTGAGAAGGTAAATCTTTATGGAAGTAGACAGCCCAGTCTTTCTTTCCTGGAATGGCTGCTGGGTTTGAACCGCCAACCTTATGGTTAGCAGTCAGATGCCTTAGGCGCCAGGAATGGCTTGAGCTCCTGCCATCAGCCAGTGTTAAGTGCTGTACTGATGCCACTGACTCCCCTCCCCAGGAAGCAGATGGCTTTATGCCCCTTAACAGTTGGGGAAACTGAGGACTGGAGGTTTTGTGACATAGGGCCACACAGTAGTAAGTGGGGGAGCCAGGATTTGAACCTGGATCTCTCTAACTCCAGTGTGCACACACACGCTCTTAAGTGCTCAGCTACACTGTCCATGTCACAGTTGGGGAGACCAAGGGGAGCAGGGTGCTGAGGTAACTCGTCACCTCCCTGCTCTCCCTTGATGTAGGTACTGCTCTCAGCTGGGCTGCTCTGTGGAGAAAATAAGGCAGAATATGTCCTTTCTTTCCTGGGCAAGTGAGCTTTGAAAAAAGCATTTACCCCTTTTAAGCCTGGTTGTCCTTAAAACATAGGCGTTGGGGGACCCTGTCACTTTTATCTGTATCTTCAGTGCTAGGTATAGAGGGGTGCTTAATAAATGCATGTGTGTAACTGGCTAGATGATTTCCAAGGGCCCTTGTAGCCAAGATTTGGTCTCGAGTTGGTGAATATGACCTTCTAAATGGCAGTAGCTCTGGTAGCATAGTGGCTAAGACACTTGCCTGCTAACCAGACGGCTGGCGGTTCAAACCCACCAGCCACTACCTCGGAAGGAAGGTTGGGCAATCCTACTTCCGTAGTGATACTGCCTCGGAAACCCAAGGAGGGGTCGCTATGAGTCGGGGCCGACTCGACGGCACATAACAACAACAACAACAACAAATGGCAGTAAGATAATGAGCGTTGTTAACCTCTGAGACGGTTCTCCCTGTGGGCTGGGGTAGTCGCGGGAGTCTTCCTGGAAGCGGCGGTGCTGGCCTAGATCTTGGAAGTAAGGGCAGGATTCGACCAGGCAGAAAGCTGAGGGAGGACATTGCAGTGTGGGAACAGGAGTTGGTTCACAGAAGGGCAAGCAGACTGCCTGGCTTGGAACATGTGTAGGAGCCACAGGGGGAGAATGCCGGAAGAAAACCGAGCGCCAGCATGCCCGTGTGGGGTGTAACAGTGGTCCTCAGCCGGGAGCAGCTTTGCTCCCTGGAGGACACTCGGCAGTGTCTGGAGACCTGTTGGGTTGGCAACACTGGCGGGTGGTGTGTGCTGCTGCAGCTGGAGGCCAGGAAAGCCGCCCGACACTCTACCGTGGACAGGACAGCTCCCGCAGCAAAGCATAATGTGACCCGGAATGTCACCAGTGGCCGGGCGAAGAAGTGTCGAGCACGGGGGCCTTGAGTCTGTTGGACGGAGGTTGGATGCCGTGGCCCCGTTCTCCAGCTGCACGAGCAGGAGTCTGGCCGTGGGCCGTACAAGCAGAAGCAGAGAGTCCTGTTAGGACACTGGTGGAGGGAGGAGGCTGGCGCGGGTGGTGGTGGTGGACCATTAACCGGGACATGTCTGGAAGGTGAGCTGATGGTGGCTATGGGTTGCATGTGTGCTGAGGGAAGGAGGACTCGAGGAAGAGAGCGAGGTTTGGGCCTGCACCTCTGAGTGAAAGTAGGTGCCGTCCCTGAGATGGGAAGTAGGAAGACACCGATTTGGATGTCGACTGGGTGTGGGACAGGAGTTCTGTGACATACCTAACAGACATCCAAGTGAAGGCTTGGGTATCCTTCTGGGGTTTGTGATAGGCCTTTGAGAGACTTGGCTAAAAGAAAGTGTTTAAAACAATAGAACCGAATTAGGTCACACAGCACCTGTTCCCATGGAGTTGATTTCAGCTCATAGCAACTCTCATGGGATAGAGTAGAACTGCCCCACAGGGTTTCCTAGGCTGTAATCTTGACGGGAGCGGACTGCCACATCTTTCTCCTGTGGTGGGTTCGAACCACTGATCCTTTGGTTAGCAGCCGAGTGCTTCACCACTGTGCCACCTTCATTCACACAGCACACTGGTCCTCAGCCACCCCTTTATAGCAAGTGTTTTATTACAATCTCCCTTATACTAAAGTGAAATTTATGGTGTAGTAAAAACTTACCCACCAGCCACTCCCCAGGAGAAAGATGAGGCAGTCTGCCTTCACAGAGATTTACAGCCTTGGAAACCCTCTGAGGGAGTTCTGCCCTGCCCTAGGGTCGCTATGAGTCTGAACCGACTCAATGGCAATGAGTTTGGTTTTTTGGTTTATATATAATTAAAAAAAAAAAAAAAAAAAAGATTGGTGATGTCCTAACTGTCATACGAAGGAAAATAAGTGAAAAGTAGTTGATAAATGTTCTTCAGTATGTTTGTTCCTCAGGAGCTCTGGTGGTGTAGTGCCTTAGGCATTTGACTGCTAACCAGGAGGCTGGTGGTTCAAACCCACCAGCCACTCCTTGGAAGGAAGGTTGGGCAATCTGCTTCCATAGTGATACCGCCTCGGAAACCCAAGGAGGGGTCTCTAGGAGTTGGATCTGACTCGACAGCAATGAGTTTGGGTTTTTTTTTTTTTAAATGTACGTTCCTCAGCACAGTGCTAATAGAAGTCACAGGGCAGTCGGTGGAGCCCGTGGTCCATCAGGGGCATTGCTGGGAATGCAATAGCCACAGCCACAAACCTATAAGCCAAGACAGGCAGCTTAAGTACCGTGAATACCATTGCTGTCAATAGGATTTTCCCAAAATGAGAGTCCTTGGTACAGTTCTGACAAAAACAGTTTAGTCTCCCCTCAGCGTCCCTGGCAGTCACACTCTTGGAAAATTTGTGTTTGCAGTAAAACACGCAAAAACGGCCTTGTGTTTGCAAGTAAAGAGAGCTGGACTCTCTGTCAAGGTCCTCATGAGCCCACCTTTCAGCCACATGAGTGTCAGTCATACGGGATGCAGAACCCTCTTGGTTCTGTGGGACTGCCCGCTCACAGTCCCTGCTTGCTAAACACCAAGAGTGTGCCCCCGGAGTACCCCCACTGGTAGCCAAGACTCCTCTACAGAGAACCACAGCCCTAGGGCGCCCTTTGGACAGCCTTGTGCCAGCTCCCCGTTTGCCTTGGGGGAGGGAAAATGATAACACACGATCCGCGATCCAGAGTACAAGCCAGAAAGGACTGGGGGAGGGGAGGCTGGGGACTGTGTCCTGTCAGATGGTTCTAAGAAGGCTTCAGGAGGTGGCATTTCAGCAGGGTGTGGCGTCTCAAAGGAGAAGCTGGTGGGGGTGAGGGGGTGGGGGCACTCAGATGAAGCAGCCCGTGTGGTTACGTAGGGCTGGGCATCCCCAGCACGGACAGGTCCGCCAGGCCCTCACCGAGGTTGGCTGGGTTGAAGGGAAGCAGGGAGTGGTTGGCAAAGACCCGTGGCAGGCGTCTCTGTGGGAGCATTTGTGAGGGGCTGGGGCAAGGTAGACATTGGGGTCTTGGTTCATCTTTAACCCTTTAAAGACCAGACCAGTCCCCTGAAAATCATGAGGTGTATCCCCGTGGGCACTGAGTCATCACAACTCAGTTATGGAGAACTGCAGTATGCCAGATCTGTACACATGAGTTTGGACTCAGGGGTCCCTCAGGGGACACAGACGTTAACCACACGTTACTTGGCACACGTGTTATGAAGGAAAAACAGAGGGGCCGTGGAAGTAACCTGTTTTCTCAGTGGGACTCATCGGGGGTCAAGCAGCCCTTGAGCTGAAGACAGGTAGGGTGTACCCGGAAGGGAATGCAGGTGGGCAGGGCGTTCAGTGCCTCAGGGAGCAGGAAGGAGCCTGGTGTGTTTGAAGAGGTGGAAGGCGGCCAGTGGGACCAGGGTCGTGGGAGCCACTCAGCTGAGACTAGAGAGGCGGGCAGGGCTGACTTGGGGCCTTGTTAGCCACAAGGGAGGGTTTGGTCTTCATCGGAAAAGCTCTGGAAGCCATCCAGAATGTTCAGCAGTGGCCTGACAAGATCAGATTTGTGTTTGTAAAAGGTCACTTTGGAGCAGTTCATAGAGAACGGTTTGAGGGGACATGATTGGACATGGCTCAGAGCGTCATATGTCTAGGAGTGCCTGTGGGATCGGCCCCTTCTGTGGAGCCAGGAGTGAGAGGCGTGGTCTGTCTAAGTGATCAGAGCTGCCCTTTCGTTTCCAGCATCAGCTTGGGGACCTGTGAGCTCTGCGTCCAGTTCACCATGGAAGGGGGCGGATCAGGCCACCTGCCCCAGAGGTGAGGACCCTGCCTGGGGCACTGCTGGTCATTCCCCATCATGGAGGCAAAGAGGACTGCCCTGGCGAGGAGGTGGTCTTGTTGAGAGTCGGGGCCCAGCTCTCCTGGCGCTGTGTGCTGCCCACCCAGCCAGCTCGGGTGCGCGGTGTCCCCGGATGGGGCGGTGGGCCCCCGACGTGGCTTTTCTGTGGAAGGCAGTGCTGACCCTGGGGCTGGTCCTTCTCTACTACTGCTTCTCCATCGGCATCACCTTCTACAACAAATGGCTGACGAAGGTAACTGGAGGCCTGGCCGGTGCGGGGGACGGTGAGGTGGCTGCTGGCGCCGGGAGATGTAACCACTCTGCGGTCTGGGCTCCAGCCGGCCCCCGTGGAAGCCAGCCATGCCTATGGGCAGACCAGGACCCCCGAAGCCTGCCGTGCCAGGCATTCCCCTAAATGTCCAGCTTGGGGAGGGCTGCTGCGGGCTGGGCGGGCAAGCTGAGGCATCTCCGGCGGCAGCAGCTCTTTACCGGCTGGTAGAGAAGTGGTCTGTGTTGTGACAGTACTGCCACACAGCCAACAGCGGGTGACGGTTAGTTCCTGGGTGTAGACTCTGGGGAAGAGCTGGAACAGGTGGCCCAAGTGGAGACAACCCCAAGCTGGGCTTGCGCCCTGTGTCTGCCTCTGCTCCCTCTGAAATGGGACTAGTCATCCTCCATGCAAGTGACCGTGCTGCGGGTGGGCGGCAGCCCCTCACACGCCGCAGCGCGTCGCAGGCCAGGGCTCCCGCAGTGGGGCCGCCGCTGCCTGAGCCGGGCGGGGTCCTGTGCTCGGCCCGTGCAGGGCTTCCACTTCCCCCTGTTCATGACGATGCTGCACCTGGCCGTGATCTTCCTCTTCTCCGCCCTGTCCCGAGCGTTGGTGCACTGCTCCAGCCACAGGGCCCGCGTGGTGCTCAGCTGGACCGACTACCTGCGAAGAGTAGCCCCCACAGGTGTGTGCCAGGCGCTGGGAGTGGAAACCGTAGACCAAGAGCACAAGGAAGTCCTGGGCCTTGAGGCTCGGCTGCCCCTTCTCTTCCCACGCTGGGTCGCTCGCGTATCTCTGCTTACCCTGCGTACCCCACGTTGGCCTGCTCCGTACCCCATCTCCCCCCCATACACACACCCTGCAGGAAAGTCCCCGTGGGGCAGCAGTCTCAGAGTCAGCTCCCCCGTCAGCAGACAGCCTGAGCCAGGCACTCGGCCTCGAGGCCCAGCGGGGAGGGGAAACGCGCCCAGGCTGGGGCAGGTGGTGCCAGGCAGGAGTCCCAGAGCTGCCAGCCAAGACCTGAAGGAGGAGCGGACCTGGCGGGCCTGGGAAGGGCAGACCTCGGTGTGCAGAAAGGGAGCGGAAGGTTCATCAGCACTGAGCCCAGGGCTGGGGAGAGGAGTGGGGGAAGTGAGGTGACAGGCTGGACGGACCTCAGAGGCCACCAGCCTCGGCTCATAACCCCTCCCCCACCACGGGGGCTAGTGAGAACACTGCACAGTCCCTAGGGGCTGTAGCCTTAATGCTGGGGCAGAGCCCCTGCCGGGTTGTGGCCAGGAGTTAACACCCTAGTTGCTGGGCGCAGAGGAGGGCCGAGGGCTCTGGAGAAGGGCTGCAGAGGTGGGGAGCAGGGAGCATTCTGACACCTGGCACAGCCTTCCTGGCGCCCCCTGACCGAGCTGCCCCAGCTCACACCGTCCGGCGGGGGCCCTGTCTCCGCAGCCCTGGCAACGGCGCTTGACGTGGGCCTGTCCAACTGGAGCTTCCTGTACATCACCGTCTCCCTGTGAGTACTGGCCACGCCCACCCCCCTCAGCGCCTGTCTGTCCACCCGGGTGCTGCACGCCGCCCATGGGGCCAGTCCTTCACACTCTCAGCTCCTCTGTGGCACCAGCAGTACTCCAAGAAGTCGCAGAGGACTCAGATAAGGTGGTTACCGACATAGCAGGGGCCGAAAGGCAGCGAAAGCCACAGGGAAGAGAAGCCAGCGTGCTATTTGCAGCTGCTGCTTGCTGTTCCTTATCTCTGGTTTGTGCTTCAGAGAGCAAAATGCCTGCCACTCTCCTCTCCTCTCCTCTGATCCTCCCGAGCCTGGTCTCTGTGGAGGGTTAGGTAAATAACAGGCCTCGCTGGCAGCCCTCTCTCCCTCTCCATGACAACAGTCAGATGCCTCTTAGCCAGAGATTTCTTCCGATTAAAGGTCACTTATCTAAAAAAAAAAAAAAAGGCACTTATCAACCCACAAGACTCAGGCGAGTTCTCTCACCCTTTTGTATCCAGGTTGCCCTGCTGCCCCGAGCAGAGCCTGTCATCCTCAGGGAAACCGGGGGGACTCCTGCTCCCCGCTCCACCGAGAGCACCTTTGGTGGCGGGAGGAGGGGTCAAGAGCCCTGGGCTCTGGTGCATTGTGGGGAACTTTCGCTTCCAGGTACACAATGACCAAGTCCTCAGCCGTCCTGTTCATCTTGATCTTCTCTCTGATCTTCAAGCTGGAGGAGCTGGTGAGGCCCCAGCTTCCCTCTTGTCCCTCCTGCCCCCACAGAGACTAAGAGTGAAAAAGGGACTCTGAGCAGTGGCTTGTCACTGTGTGTGACTGAAGAGACTGGCCCAGCCCAGTTGGCCACAGTTCCCTTCTCTGAGAAAGGACCTGAACACGGGGGAGATTCAGGATGTTTGGAAACTGGCGTGGCAGGGTAGGGCCAGAGGAGAAAGAATTCAGGGATGGGGATGAGGTGGAACAGGACTGTGGGGTCACCCTGTTGACAAAGTGCAGGTCAGGGGGTGAGCCACTTGGGGACCTGGGGCAGTCTTAGGAAAGCACTTCAGTATTTAACAGTAGGTGGAGCTGTTGAGTCCATGTGGCTGAATATCCTTGGGCCAGGACTCTGGTGGCAGGAGTTGGGATGAGAGGGTTTCTTGCCCCAGGGACAGCCAAGAACACTGCTGACTCCCGGGCTCCGGGTGCAATGAACTCCAGGCCCTGGAGACCCCCAAGTGAGTTGCAAAACTTCTCCCTGTCCTGTCAGCGAGCAGCCCTGGTGCTGGTGGTGGTCCTCATCGCCGGTGGGCTCTTCATGTTCACCTACAAGTCCACGCAGTTCAACGTGGAGGGCTTCGCCTTGGTGCTGGGGGCCTCGTTCATCGGTGGCATTCGCTGGACCCTTACCCAGATGCTCCTGCAGAAGGCTGAGCTTGGTAAGCGTGGGCTCCCGTGCCAGACACGGGCCCGGGCCCAGGCAGGGTGGAGGGTCGCCCGGCCAGCACTGACGGTTCACCCGTCTCCCCACCCTGCAGGGCTCCAGAACCCCATTGACACCATGTTCCATCTGCAGCCACTCATGTTCCTGGGACTGTTCCCTCTCTTTGCTGTATTTGAAGGTACGTTGGGGCAGCCACCTCACGGGCACTGCAGCACAATCCCCAGTCCCTGGTCGGAGCTGACACTGGCAGCTACAGAGATCCAGAGCTCAGAGATGTAGGCCCTGCACCAGGCAGCAGGCACAGCTGGGGGCTGGCAGACACTTGAACAGAGTGGCTAGGATCTGCGTGATACGCGCTCCACAGAGAGTGTAGACAAAAGGCAGCGGGCGACAGTAAATGTTCACAGATCCCTAAAGCTATGTAGGGTATTCGAGTTGCTTTAAACATATAAACTCATTTCATCTTCACAAAAACCCTGGGTGCCGGTGCTGTTACTGTCCCATTTTACAGATAAAGAAACTGAGACCAAGAGAAGTAAAGATAATTAGCCAGCCCCCTGCTTGTAGCTGAGCTGGAACATGGGTCAGTCCAGCAGCGTGGCTGCAGAGTTCCGCTTGCCTCTCGGAAGGAGCGGGGTTGTGAATTACTTTATGAAGGGGAAGAGGAGGGCAAGCCCAAAAGGCTTCCCCGACACTGTGGTGGAGGAAGAATGGGATTTGGGCAGGCTGATGGGGACAGGCACCTGAGAAACGAGTACAGGTTCGGACTTTTCAAGTCATCTCACAGCAAGCTTGTGTTCTGGGCAGGACAGGCCCTTTGGGGTTGGCTGAGGGTGCGGGCCTGGGGTGGGGGTGGGCCAGCCACTCCTGGCCACCTTCACGAGGTGAGGCGATATGAGGGGGACACGACTGGGTGCCACAGGCTGGGAGATTCAGTCCCCCCCTTCCCCCCTTTGGATGTTTTGGGATCATAGGCTGTCCCCGGGTAACAAATGAGATCCGTTCTGTATCTTTCAGAATTTGTGGGTTCAGACCAGGTGCGGATGGTTTCCATTTCGCCTTACTTTAGTGCAAAAAAAGGCTCAGAGCCTGTCCAGTGATTTCAGAGGTGATGGTGATGCAGAAGTTGTTGTGAGTTAGGGGTGGGTTTAGTCAGTTCAAAACCAAGCCAAACCCACTGCCATCACGTCGATTCCTACTCATAGTGACACCCACTGGGTTTCCAAGGCCATAAATCTTCATGGAAGTAGATTGCCCCATCTTCCTTCTGCAGAGTAGATGGTGGGTTTGAACTGCCAGCCTTCTGGTTAGCATTCAAATGCTTTAAGCACTACACCACCAGAGCTCATTTTGAAGTGAGGGAAAATTTATGTGATATTAAAGGGCAGGTACAAGCTAGAGTTGTCGTAAGTCAGCTTTCGGAACCCAGGGCCTGCTGTAGTCTTTATCCCCTGTCTGCTATCCTTCCCGCTCAGTTCTGTCTGTCCGCAGGGTCATTACAGAGAAGCCCGTCCCATATCCATTTACGTTTCAAGCAGTGAAGCGTCTCGAGCCTCCCTAAGAAAATCATTCCTCGGCCCGTTGTCTAGGAAACTTCTCTTCTGAAGCCTCATTTTTTCCCTTTAAACATCTCTCCCCATTCCTTCAGTATACCCCCTTGTACCACACGCTGCATGCTCCCTCCCTTCTGGGGTGTTTACACCATTCCCCATCTCTGCACACCCTCGTCCAGAAGCCCCAGCTAGTCGTCACTCAGCAAAGCTGCATGGGTTTAGCTCCTTTAATCTCTTCTGGTAAATTAATCCCCCAAGCACCTTCATTACTTATGTTGCTCTTCCCCGAATTCCCTTCAATTTGCCGACGCCTTTGCATTACTGCTGAGCCCAGCACCAAACATCGTGTCCTACATTGTGTGACTGTGTGCCTGGGGGGAGCTGTCACTTTGCATTTCTTTAGTGCTTCCCTCCAAAATTCTCCCCGCTCTCTCCCGGCTTTGGACCACCACGGGGCTCTCTGTGTCTGGCTTGGGGCTTACCTTTACACGCTGTTCAGACACTGGGGAATAGGCGCCCTGCTGGTCGGAGGGACCCCCGGAGTCGTTCTCTCTGATGGACAGTGTCAGAGGGCCCATGAATCCTGTGGAAGTCTAAGCAGCATCGTGGGTGTGTGGGTGTGTAGGTGGATGTTTCCAGAGCAAGAGTCCAGGACTTTTATCGTATGTTCATATACGTGTGTGTGGGTGTGTACATAAAGGCATACCTTGTTTTATTGCACTTCACAAACACTGCACTTTTTACAAATTGAAGGTTGTGGCAACCCTGTGTCGAATAAGTCCATCAGCACCATTTTTTACAGCAGCATGTACTCACTTCATGTCTCTGTGTCACAAATTGGTAATTCTCACGTCACACTTTTTCATAATACTGAAAAAAAAAAAACCCACTGCTGTCGAATCGATTCTGACTCATAACAACCCCATTGGGTTTTTGAGGCAGTAACTCTTTATGTAAGTAGATCGCACCATCTTACTTCTGCGGAGTAGCTGGCAGGTTTGAACTGTGAACCTTCTGGTTAGCAGTCGACTGCCTTATCCACTGCGCCACCAGAGCTGCTCACGATGCTGCTGCACACTTAACAGACTACAGTGTAGTGTGAACATAACTGTTGTATGCACTGGAAAACCAGAAAGTCATGTGACTTTTCTAGTGCGATATTTGCTTTATTGCAGTGGTTTGGAACCAAACCCACAATGTCTCTGAGTTATGCCTGTATGTGTATGTATTTTTCTTTTTGAGAAATACTCATGAAATTCCATTGCCTGTTTGAGAAACACTGATCCAACCCCAAGCTCCTCATGTTATCCGTGGGGAAACTGAGGTCCAGTTAAGGAGGCTGGCAGGGATGGAGTTTTGTCCCTGGTTTATAGATAACCTGGGACTGAGGACCCCCGAGTGGCCAGGCAGGCCTCCTTGGTGGGCTGTCCTGCTTCTCTCCAGCCCACTGGTTGTCATGACAGTAGAAGCCACATGAAGTCACCTCCCTGGCCCACCTTCCCCCAGGAACAGGAGGCTGTGCCCCGTGGAATAGGGTGCTGCGAGCCCCGGGGCTCCACCTGCCCACCCCTTACTCCCCGGCAGTGTCGCTGCCATGTGTTGCCCCAGGGCTCTCCTGCAGCCTACTCTGCGTCCTTGGTGTCCTCCGTCCCCCCACCCACCCCCACCTCAGGCCATCTGTGTGGGATCACTGTCTTCCTCCCTCCCGCCCTCCTCCCTCCCATCTCAGGCCTCACAGTCAGCAGATACTCAGGAAGTGGTCACTGGCATCTTCTGGTTAGTGGGTAGGGCCAGGTGGCCACTGGGCAGGTGCACCCGGGGCCTGGCGTCCCACCTGTCTCCCCATTGCTTCCAGGTCTCCATTTGTCCACGTCGGAGAAGATCTTCCGTTCCCAGGACACGGGGCTGCTTCTGCGGGTGCTGGGGAGCCTCTTCCTCGGCGGGGTCCTCGCCTTCGGTCTGGGCTTCTCCGAGTTCCTCCTGGTCTCCAGGACCTCCAGCCTCACGCTCTCCATTGCTGGCATTTTTAAGGTACAGACTTGGAGGCCACCCCTGTCCTGTCTTAGAGGGGAGCCCCCTAGGGGTGTTTCTCAGACGGCAGCTTCTGTCCCAGCTCCTGCATCCCAGGGCTCAGTGGATAACGGACTGAAGCCCGGTTGGTGCCAGTCCCCGTGTGGAGTGCTGTGCTCACATCCGTGCTCCCTGCAATCATCACAGCAGCCTGTGGGGCGCGGATGATCGTCCCCATTTCGCAGATGGGGAAAGCACACCAAGCGCTGTGCCTCCCCAGCCATACGCAGCTTAGAATGACTGAGCTGGGACTCAGCCTTGGAGCCAGTTCCATATTTCCTTGAGTGCCAGCTCTGATCATGTAGGAGTGGCTTCCAGCCATGGTGGGTTCAGAAGTCCCCATCCAGACTCATTATTAAAGAGATCCATGATTGATTAGCAATGTCTGCCATGGGCACAGCAGCAGGTAGTAACATCATCAGTGTGAGCACCATCTGTTTGCTCATCTTGCCTTTTTTGCCACCTAGAAGCCTCCCCCCTTCTCCTCCCTCCCTGCCCACTCTCCTCCCCTCTCCTCACTTCTGCCCTTCCCTCCGCATCACCTCTTCACCCCTCTGCTCAGGGCCTAGAGAGATTTTCTCGTTGACTAGACAGCCATCAAGACTAGAGGGCAGTTCTCCCTCGCCCTGGGGTGGTTGTAGGCCGGACCCCAGCTCCCAAGCCTGGTTCCCGTTTGCCTCTTCGCCTGCTGGCAGGCTGAGAGAGCTCCATTTTTGTCGTCGCAGTAACATGGAGGAAAGCCGGCAGGAGAGCCATGCGGGCAGGCCAGGTCCTCCCAGCTCTCGGAACCTCCCTTTGCCCTGAGGCCAGCCTGCCCTTCCTGGACCCTGGCCATATGGCAGGTCTAGCCTGTCCTCTGGGTATGCCCAGCACCCCTGCCCTCCTTGCCCGGGAGCCAGCTCTCCTGTGACGACGTTCACTTCCTGCTTCTCTGCCCCAGGAAGTCTGCACTCTGCTGCTGGCGGCACATTTGCTGGGCGATCAGATCAGCCTCCTGAACTGGCTGGGCTTTGCCCTGTGCCTCTCGGGAATATCCCTGCACGTGGCCATGAAGGCCCTTCATGCCAGAGGTAACTGCGGTCCCTTTCCGAGGTCTGGTTTGCTAGCACCTTGGACTTCCTCTCACCCCAGCCCTGGCTCGTGCCATACCAGGAGGAGCCAGTCTGGTAGCTTTTAGCTACCTGCAGAGCAGTCTGGCCTGGTGGCTCTCGCAGTTGACCTGCCTCTGCCTTGGCTGTTCCTCTAGGCTCAAGAAGCACGCCTGGTCTCCTGTGGGAAGGCGGAGTCTCCAGAGAGTGGGTGGGTGGATGGGTGGGAACCTTGAATCAGGGCAAAGCAAGAGAACACGATTGGTCCTTGACAGTGGTCTCTCTCTTCTCAAGGTGATGGTGGCCCGAAACCCTCGAAGGGGCTGGGGTCCAGCCCCGACCTGGAGCTGCTGCTCCGGGGCAGCCAGCAGGACGAAGAGGACAATGAGGAAGAAGAGTACTTTGTGGCCCAGGGGCAGCAGTGACCAACCAGGGGAGCCCTGGAAGCGGGGTGTCCCTCACCTCACACCCAGGCTGCGGCTCACACCAGCAGCAGCTCAGCTGGCCCTGTGGTTCTACGTGGAGCGGGGGGCAGGGGTGTGGAGCTACCCAGCTGAACCTCGGGGTCCATGTGTTGCCGTGCCGTGGAGCTAGATCAGGGGCCTAGGGCTCCTACCCTTCCCTGCAGAGCTTGGCCAAACAGAATGAGCCCCAAGACTCATGGCCCAGGACCCAGCCCAAGCTGGGTGTACTCTGCTGCAGACACAGTGGAGGAGGGACCTAGTGTGCTGGGTGCCAGGAGCCAAGGTCGTCATGTGGAGGCCCAGCAGCTGTCTGGTCTCCAGGGCCCTGGATTTGGACTGCAGAGCATTTGGGAAGGGAGATGGAAGGCTGGGGCCTTGTCACATGGAGAGCATCTCTGCTCGGAGAGCAGGTTTATTTATAGTTTGGAAATAAATGGCTTACACGTCACTGGCCACCTCAAGTTGCCTGAAACCCATTCTCACTTGGCCTGAAGGTGTGGGGGGCAGGGAAGGCAGGTGTGAAAGCCACAGGTCATAACCCAGGCCTCCAGCATCTCAGGCTCCTGTCTGAACCCCTTTGCCCTCTCCTCGGGAACCCCCAGACCTGCAGGCAGGAGTCGAAGTAATGTTTACTGAGCACAACATGGTGGGAACTTTCCCCTGTTTTTGCAGCCTGGATTTGAATCCCAACCCTGTCACTTACTAGCTGTGTGACTTTAAACAAGTTACTTAACCTCTCTGTGCCACAGTTTCTTCATCTGTCAAATCCCTGGGGATGCTAATACTTACCACATAGTCATTCTGAAGATTAAGTAAGTCAATATCGGTAGCAGTTTATTTTTAAAGTCCTCTTGAGCAACCACAAAATCTTAGAAAAGATAAAACCAAAAAAAAACCCAAACTCACTGCCATTGAGTCAATTCCAGCTCATAGCAACTCCCTTTGGGTTTCCGAGGCAGTAAATCTCTGCAGAAGTAGATTGTGCAGTCTCCCTTCCGCGAAGTGGCTGGTGGGTTTGAACCACCAACCTTCTGGTTAGCAGTCAGATGCCTTAGGCACTACACCACCAGAGCTCCTTTGAAAAGAGAAAGGACTTTCTAAATTGTGGCAGAGCTGGGATGCAAGTTCAGGTTTGTCAGCCTCCAGCATCCACATATATTCCAGGTCCACGCTGCCTCCTACATGGGTTTGTGGGCCTTTGAGTCCTGGGCCTTCCCCTTGCCCACCTTAGACACTGCAGCCCTGTCTAGAGTGGGGAGGAAGGGTGAGATCCTAGTTTTGATGGCCTCTGGTCTGAGCCCTGGCCTGCTCCTCTGAGCTTTTTCCCTTGGGACCGGAGAGCCTGGCCCTTTAGACCCGTCTGTAGGCTGGCGGCATTTCAGGCACTCACAGCAGGTGGCGCCATTGCACCACGGCTGCACCGGGAAGTGGGGTGCTCACCCAAATCCAGGCGGGTACCTGCTGAGAAGGGGCCTGGAAGAAGAGGGCAGTGGGAGTCCTTGGGCGACCAGGACGGGGCTTATTAGGAAATCGTTCTGATCAAGGTGGTACCACTGGAGCTCATTCAGTAAGTCTGGGCAACTTGAACACTTTAGAAACCCGTTGGAAAACTTTATGCAAAGGGTCAGATAGTAAACATTTTCCATTTGGGAGCCATGTGGTGTCTGTCACAGCTCCTCACCCCCGCCGTTGTACATGAAAGCAGTCACACACAACACAGAAACGAGGGCAGGTGTGGAAACAGCCGCTCGTAATCCAGGCCTCCTGCACCGGTGCACTGGTTTCAGGGAAGCCTGATTGACACAAACGGGCTCTGGCCTGCACCCAGTAGTTTGCTGACCCCGCTTCTAGCAGAATTGGCTCCCTTGGTGGCCCAGTGGTTCAAAAGCTGCTAACCAAATGGTCAGATGTTGCAGGCTGCAGCCTTGGAAATCCTCCAGGGCAGTACTACCGTGTCCCATAGTATTCTAGTTGGAATCAGCTCACAACAGTAAGTTGGGTTTGGGTTTGGTTTGATGTAGCAGACTCCTTAAGAGAGAAGTGAGACCTGCTCCCAGTTGTACAGACAGGGAAAGGGAGGCCCAGGAGGGCTGTGACTAGTCTTAGGTCCTCAGAGTCTCGGTGCCGGGAGGAGTTAGGACCAAGATCCGCCTGGGGTTCAGATTCTCAGTGCAGACTTCAGCAGATGGAGGTGTGACCCCAAGGGCCTGTTTGAAGCAGTGCCTTATCTGGCTCCTGGACCTCTGCTCCTTGGAATCTGCAAGCTCCGAGGCCAGGAGTAAAGGAAACTTGAGTCCTCCCTGGATGGCTGGAGAGAGGCTGCAAGGAGAGGTCGCCTTCCTCACCCCTGCCTGCCAGAGCCCCGCTGCTCAGGTGGAGGAGCGCTTCCTCCTGGCTCCCCTGCCACCCCCCGCCGGCACAGAGAGCAAGCGCTGCTGTCTGGTGCAGTAATTACAGGGTGCAGAGCAGGGGGGACCTTCGGGTGCACACATGTTGGGTTTAATGACAGCTCCTCACTTAGTGGCAATTACCAGCCGGCTGGGAGGAGGGCTCCCTCTCTGCCTCCCCCATCTAGCCCACCCAGTCGCCCGGCCCTCAGGGCCAGACAGCGTCTACCCTTGGCTTGGAGCCTTAGAACCACCCATGCTGTCTGCAGCCATTGCATCTCGGGGGCTGCAGCATCACCATGGCAACTCGGTACGTGTGCACAGGTTGAAGGAAGCGCAGGATGTGACTTGTCTCTCCAAGGCTGTGGCATCTGTCCCCACGTAGCCTCCAGCTCCAGGGCTTCTGCACAGGATGAAAGGGCGTGGAGATCGGACCCACCCACAGGCTCCTGCTTAAGTGTTTACATGCCCACTGCTCTCCCAGGAGCCTGCAGTGGGAGGAAGGTTAATGCCCCCAGTATCTGAAGACGTCCACGGTGGGGGGGTGGGGAGGAGAACGGGCTGGAGTTGGCTGTGGGAGAGACCTGAGGTGCCAGGCGGGACCTGGGTTTACCTTCGTCTTCATTCTTGACCCTGCTCTGCCTGAGGGCTCAGGAGATCGGCTCCATCTGCTTCTGCTCCACTCTGCCGAGAATCCCGGTGACTTCAGAGTGGAGTCGGACGGCGCCAACAGATGTCTCTCCCTGGGTTACTTTCTGCAGTTTTCTGTACCAGGGACTAATGGAGACTCGACAGAGTCGAATCTCCAGTTTGCAGTCTAGGACTGAGGTGGAACTCAGACCATCTGTTTGGGTTGACAGCAGTCAGTGAGTACTGGCCACGTGCCAGGGACTGTGCTGGGCTCAGGGACAGAGACATTTGTCCTTGGAGAGAAGGCACATGGAGCCCTTACTCCCTGCCAGCCCAGGGGAGTGTTGGGCAAGGGGAGGGAAGAATGGGGAAGAGAGAGTGGACTGGACTAGCCACTGAACACCCCGTATGCCCTCCCACACGTGTTGTCTAATCCCTACCAACTCAGTGCAGTGGAGTTACCTCGACCTTCTTCACACCTATGGGAACGGCGCTCCTAGAGGCTCGGTGCCACAGGGCTTCAGACTCCGGGCTCCATTGGACGTGGACTGGCATCTCCTTGCTGCCCCATAAGGGCTGTGTGATCTTGGATATGTTACCAAAACCCTCGTCTACAAAGAAGGGATAATAAAGTGTATCTCCCTGTGCAACTATTGTGAAGAGGAAATCGGGGACATGGAGCACTTAGTACAGTACCAGGCACGGACAGAATAATTACCACTCAGTAATGTAAACTAAGGGAGCCCTGGTGGCACAGTGGTTAAGCACTTGACTGCTCACTGAAAGGTTGGCAGCTCGAACCCACCAGCCGCTCCATGGGAAAGATGTGGCAGTGGCTTCTGTAAAGATGACTGTTGTCCGGTGCCGAGTCAGTTCCAACTCAGAGGGCCCTTCTGTACAACAGAACGAGGTGCTGCTTGGACTGGGCCATTCTCATAATTGGTGCTACATTTGAACCCATTGTTGCAGCCACTGTACCGAATCCATCCCATTGAGGGGCTTCCTCTTTTCCGCTGACCCTCTGCCAAGCATGCTGTTGTGTTTTGGGTGCCTCAGAACCCGAGGAGCTCATTTTCCAGCACACAGCGCGCCACTGCTATTCACTAGGCTTTCACTGGCCAATTGCTTCAGAAGTGGGTCCCCAGGTCCTTCCTCCAGTCTGTCTCAGCCCAGAAGCTCCACTGAAACCTGTCCGCCTTGGATGACCCGGCTGGTGTTGGAAATCCTGGTGGCATGGCTTCCAGCATCACAGCAACAAGCAAGCTACCACAGTATGACAGACAGACAGGGGTGGCCTGAAGAGCATTGTTGTTAGGTGCCGTCAAGTTGGCTCCAACTCATAGTGACCCTGTGTACAACAGAACAGAACACTGCCTGGTCCTGCACCAGCCTCACAATCCTTGCTATACCTGAGCCCATCATTGCAGCCTCTGTGTCAATCCATCTCGTTGAGGGCCTTCCCCTTTTTTGCTGACCCTCTACTTTACTAGGCATGACATCCTTCTCCAGGGAATGGTGCTTTCTGACTACATGACCAAAGTAGGTGAGATGAAGTCTGGCCATTCTTGCTTCCAAGGAGCAGTCTGGCTGCACTTCTTCCAGGACAGATGTGTTAGTTCTTCTCACAGTCCATGGTACTTTCAGTATTCTTCACCACCACCACCACAACTCAAAAGCATCAACTCTTCTTTGGTCTTCCTTATTCATTGTCCAGCTCTGACATGCATATGAGGCGACTAAAAACAACATGGCTTGGGTTAGGCGCACCTTAGTCTTCAAAGAGACATCTTTGCCTTTCAGCACTTGAAAGAGATCTTTTGCAGCAGATTGGCCCAGTGCAATACATCATCTGATGTCTTGACTTCCATTGGTGTTGATTGTGGAACCAAGTAATATGAAATCTTTGACAACTTCAGTCTTTTCTCCATTTATCATGATGCTGCTTATTGGTCCAGTTGTGAGGATTTTCA